GGAGGCAACTTCAGTGCAGAACCTGTACAACTTGTTGGCCTGAGAAACCCTATTCCTATCTAGGAAGCCTAGGGTCGGCAACCCATCCGGGTGGCTCCAGGATCTCAGCGGTTTGGGGTCCCATTTGTTGCGGCGGATATTCATGGCCTGGTTGCTGGCGCTGCACGGAGGTGCCATGTGCACAAGCAAAACCTTGTGAGTCTCCAGCAATCGCATGACCAAGCCAACAGATCCTTTGTGCAGCAAGTTTAGCTTGACTATTTTTATCTGAGGCGCATCTTTGGTGTCAATGGGGACCACCTGAACACCTATGTTTCTGAAGGCCTTGCTAAGGTTGCCTGACCCTGCAAAAAGTTCAATCACCACTAAATCCTGGACAGGCCTAGCCTCCCTCGAGGGAGCACCATCATTGCCTTGCACGCAGTCTGTCATACAACCTGAATGTGCATGTGGCTCATTCGTTGCTGGAGCTGTGGGATGGCCCGTGAAGACAGGAGGCTTCTGCTCCTTAGTGTTGGGGCGAACCTGCTCGGCTTGATGCAAAGCGGGCCTCTGACTTGATTGAGCTGTGCTGTCAACCTGGTCTGCAGGATTGGCACCTGCCTCGCAAAAGGAGGAAAACTGTGGGACCTGAGCAGGTGCCTGATTAAAACTGTGGTCAACAGCACGCGTCTGTGCGAAATGTTGATTACTATCCAACTTCGGAGAAGTGTCATGATGACTTCCAAAACTGTGATGCGCTGAACTGGGCTCCTGAGTGCGCTGCGCATAGTGGGACACCTGCATCTGGCATCCCGTCTGGGATGACGCACCCTGCCCTACCTCCTACTTGTCACATCCACTGGCTGAACGCGGGCCATGGCATTTCATACACAAGTGTAGTCCCTTGCGACAGGACGGGCCATGGGGCGTGTCCCATGTCTCCAACTGGCACCCGTGAGGCAGGCTATAATCGAAACATATAGCCTCCCCCTGAAAGTTGGGGTCCAGGCCCTTTAACGCTGCAGGGACGTTGGTTTGAATCTTCGTCCCACCTGCGCCTTTGCCTTTGCCTTTGGTCTTTCCTTTGCCCTTGCCCTTGCCTTTTTCCTGCTTGCCTTTGCCCTTGCCCTCCTGAGTGGCATACCATGGACGCTTCAATGGCAACAACTTTTCAGATTTTCAGGCTTGGGGGGAAGGGGCATGGGATGCAAGTGGAACAAAACTTGTGGGCTGTCCTTCAGGCTTTAATGGCATCGTCAACCGGTGTGGTGCCTAAGGTCCCTGCGAACTGATGCCTGACGCTTTCGCTGATTCGCACCCAGAGTTCGCGGTCGGCCCTGGAGGAGCTGATCAATGCTCGGGGCTTGGTACCCCGGAGGCGGGTATCGATGAGCATGCGCCAACAAGGATCTACTGTACGCCTCATGTTCTTGGAATGAGCACACGCCGGCCATTTCAAGTGCTACCCCTCTCCTGGTGAGAGCCTGAGAGATCCTGAGCTCCGAACTCACATCCACCTTCAAAGGCTGAGGCTTGGTGGCCAACTTGAGCGCCGTGCTCTCAGACGAAGCAAATGCTCTTCACGCTTGCCTGAAGACACCTCCTGTTCCCTGCTGGCACACTTACTGGGCGGAATGTAAGTGATGCATTGGGCCGCGGCCATTCCTGAGCAGGCGTCAAGCAAAGAATGAGCTGGTTCATACGGCCCGGTCAGAGCAAAGCTGCCCAACTTGCTCTGCACTGCATTGACCTGGAATCCCTTTCCTGCGGTGTGAGCCTTTTAACACCCTCTACACCTGGCGAGCTGATGGCATCTTTCAACTCTGCAACCACGAAGGCTCCCGCCTCAAACACGAGACGTTTTATGGCGCTTTTGCCTGCTTCTGTGAGGACTGGCTTGCAAGCGGACAACAGTTCTGAGAGCTTGCTATCATCCACCTGATTTGGACCTGAAGCTACACTAAAAAGTAACTGCCCATACGTGGCAACGCCCCTCTGCTTCAGGTCTTCTACCTGCTCTTGGCTCAAGCCGTATCGCTTGCACCTCTTTGCAAACGTCACCTCAGAATCAGAGATGCCAGACATGTCCTGCACCAAGGCTTAATTGCAAGGCAAACACGGTACAATAACGCATCCTGAGGTCCTGGAGGAAACTGTGATGCTAGAGCTTCACCTGAAGACATCAAACAAGACTGCTTCGCGTAAATGGTGCGACGGCGGCCTGCCAAGCTGAAAGTGACTGCGCCACTGAAGGTGGGGGCGTGTTCGTTTGCCCCTGCCACAAGGCCGGGGTGCTTCACACACAAGCAAATTCTACCCAACCTCCGGAGGTAACCCCGACGGTTGCCCCTGAGCAGGGACCACGTGGCATGCAGCTAGCGCCCAGCCTGAGAAGCCCCAAGGCACGGCTTGACCTGCGCCACGCAGCCTATGTATCAGGCAGCTCACGACTCAAGTCTGGCCTGATCCTGATGGCCAGCTGACCTGCCAAGCACTGCAGGCGCAAGCCCCAGCTTACACATGTCCCAGCCTTTGCTGCAGAAGAGGGGGGGCACCTGCCCAAGCACAGGTAACGACTCCTCAAGGAGTGTCCGGCCCCTGCCTGGAAATCCACGACAAGAAGAGAGCTGCCCACCTCAAGGTGCAGCAAGTGCTCTTTTCTTTTAGTGCCGGGCCAAAGGCCTTGACAGCGCAAGCTGCCCGACCTGCACAAGCAGGGCTTCAACAAGAAATCTAGGAACACAGGCTGAGGTCAAGGCGTGCTAAGACGGGGGGGGTCCCAGAGACCCGCCAACTCGAGCCAAAGCGCCTGAGAACAAAGCTGGCTCAAGCGAACTCAATGAAGTGCGGTGACAAGTGACTGCTCCTGGCCAAGCATGCAACGTGTTTTGCAACCGATGCCATCCTAAGCCCCTAGATGTGCTGTGTGAACCCTGGGTGCTGGCCTGCAGTCCTGGGAGAACCTACTCACACCTGTACAAAACTGCTCTGCAACGGAGACCTAGAAAGCCTACTCGTCCTGATGGCAATCTGGACATTCGTGATTGGTGTGGGAGCCCCTCCCATCAACACTTACTGGACGCGAGCATGCCCAGCCGCAGCGAGCTTGGCACAGCAGCAAGCAATACCCGCTAAGGTCGAAGCGACGTCTCTGCAAAGCTTTAGCCAAGACACGTTGGCGTTTTTCACGCAACCTCGGCAAGGATGACATTCCATGGATCGGCGGCAAGTCACCGGAATGACCTACCCTGGAATAGTAGGCATACGGAAGGCCTTGGAACCAGCCAACGTAATTCCATGCCTCAGCATCTAGATGCTCCAATGCCTCTGGAAGTAACGTCCTCACGTCAATCGGACGCCTCCGAGGTCCACGAGCCTCCATGGGTGTGCCATAGTCATATCCTGGAGTGCCAGGCTGCGAACCCTGGGCACTAAGCTGAGCACGCCGCTGGCCTTCAGAGCTGAGCTGCACTGAGCGTCCTGGCAGCGACCTTTCGCCATCACGTCCAAGCAACCCAACGTGCCATCCAGCCCATGGATCGCCCTGGCCAGAACCAGAGGCGCCTGTGATCACCTGAGGGGCCAAAGAAGGCGGTTGACCAACAGTGGGGCTTTTAGCTGGAGGTGCTCCAAGGGGGGGCTGAAGAGTGCCCAAACCAGAAGTAGAACGCGGCGGCGGCTGTTTGGCCGGAGGAGAAGACTGAATGCCCTGCGAGCTGCTGCCTGAAGTGTCCTTTGCCCTGCACAGTAACAGCTGAAGTGTTTCTTGTGTCCACAGGCGTAAGCCCACTGTCGACGAGGCCTGAAACACCTGGTTGCTCCTTCCACTGCTTAGCCAGGGTCATGAGCAGCTCTAATCTATCAATCTCCTCCAGCTCGAAGCAAGAAGCTGCCAGAATGACCTGATCGGGATCCTCCCTGACCACACTGCGAAGCAAAGACTGAGTGTGGAGTACTCCAGAGTCCCATGCCATTCTGTCTGCACCTATGCACCACTAAGCCCCTTTCAAAAATCTGGTGCTTGATCCAAAATGGCACCAGAAACCACGTTTTAAATGATGTTGTCGCAAGCTAACAAAAAACCCTAAACACTAAACATCAACTTCACGGCCTCTTTAAGGCTCAGGCTTTTCGGATGAGAGGAGCATTTCTGTCCGCGGGAATTCAATTTCCTGAAGCAGAACTAGGAGCAGCCAAGACTTAATTGGGTTAGCAGAGAATAAGGGAATATATCATATAGTGACTATATAGGAAGCATATTCACCTTTTGGGGGGCCCTGGTAATAAAGGTTATAATTTGCAATGTTAATTTGCGTTGCCTCATCATGGATTTCGACGGTGGCGCTCTCCTTCCATCAACACGGATGCTGGAGATTCGCTAGTCTCAAACTGATAGACTGTGTTTGCGTATGAATTATATGACGGCACCTAGTATTTAGGGGTAGCAAAAAGAAAATCAAAATTTTGGGAATCCCCCAAATTGCTTCTTTGTTTGTCAACCAACTCTGCACGATGCGTCATCAAATAGACCTACTAGACCCCCATGGATCACAACCAAAAGGAACGATGGTAGTTCTGCTGAGGGCCCTTTATACGGGGGCTTCATACAACATGAAGTCTCCATAACGAGGATCACAGTATTTTGGGGGTCTATGTTGGAGTCCCCATACCCCTAAACCCTAAACCCTAAACCCTGAAGCCTAGACCCTAACCCAGAATCAGGGGACAAGCTCTTGTTTCCAGCCTCACCGACAAGCCCGCCACAACCACCTGAACTTCTTGGTGCCCAAGCTGTTTAGGGGCTTAGGGTTCAGGGTTTAGGGTTTAGGCTTCAGGGTTTAGGGTTTAGGGTTCAGGGTTCAGGGTTTAGGCTTCAGGGTTTAGGCTTTAGGCTTCAGGGTTTAGGCTTCAGGGTTTAGGTTTCAGGGTTTAGGCTTCAGGGTTTAGGCTTCAGGGTTTAGGTTTCAGGGTTTAGGCTTCAGGGTTTATTGTTCAGGTATGCTTCTTGGTGCTTTAATTTGTTGGTGAGGTTACTAGGGGATCAAAGACCGAATCCCTCAAGCAGACCCTATATCATCCCCAAAGTAGAACCCTAGCATCCCCCTTAGTAACCCTGGTTGTATCCCCTACATAATCTTCTATATAACCCCCCGTTAAGGAGTTTAGACTTTGGTACATATCATCCCCAAAACACCCTATAAGCCTATGGGAGTTTCCCAAGATTAGAGATACTTTTTTGGGGTAGCTATAGTCCAGATTATAATATTTTGGTGTCTATACTGGCGTCTCCCCATTTTTGGGAAACTACCATTATATTCAAGCGCTTCTTGCAGCGATTTCCAAACTTGAATCCAGACCGCTATGCTGCCGCCAAATGAGCTACAGTCTCAAGTCCTAGGATCCCATTATTAGACCCTATGATCCTCCCATAAACAACCCCCTATATAACCCCACTTTAAGGAGTTGAGACCCTA